GGACTTTTGGCTACCTTCCAACACCACTTTTGTGTTTAAAAAAAAAAGGAAGAAAGTTTCACTTTTTTGTAATTCAATAAATATTTTAAAATAATCATTTTTCATTTTTAATTCAGTTTTTGGTACAAATTGAAGTCCTGCTGCTTCGGGGTGAGGTGTCAGTGTCAGTGTCAGTGTCAGGGTTTCCTGCCCGAGCAGGGGGTTGGACTAGATGACCTCCAAGGTCCCTTCCAACTTTACTACTATTATTATTATTATTATTAAGGGAGAATGTTTGTGGCAGAATCGTATACAAGGCAAAGAAATGGCTTTTCCTGGGTGATTAAATGCTGAAGTGAAGCTGAGGTGTTTGATAACCACAAAAAGCATTTATTGTGTGTATACTCCAGTGCCATGAACATCATTTCTATTATACAACAAGACAAAGGAATATTCAGCAAACCATAACGAAGAAAGAATGGGCTTTTTTTCCCCTTTCCCTTTTTTCTTTCTCCCCCTACTCCCTCCTCATGAAGTTTTAAAGTTTGGAGTTGCTGTTCCCACAGATTACTTTTCTTTTCATGTCTCCTAAGGGGTGGAGCTTAAACTAATCAAACGGGGTGGGGGCCTCTATGGAAAATGAGGATTCTGGCTTTGCAGAACTCTTATCGCTAGGGTTGTCAATATATATTTTCTGAAGAGAGAATGTTGATTTTTTTTTAATAGGCTGTGATGGGTGGGGAATGTGCCTTCTCTGCTGTATAATATGCTGTAACTGTTCCTCTTTGATAGAGGAAGACACCAAGCCATCACATCTGGAGAGAATGGATTTTACTATCACAAAACATTGCTCATTCTGTTACACATTACTGTTTCAGGAGCATCAGACTCCTTTATTAGAGAAGAATCTTTAATTTTTTTGTTGGAAAATCTAAATGAGGAACACATTCTGGGGAGAAAAGGGGCATATACAGGATGAAGGTCTGACAGGAGTGTGTTTTGTTCTGAATTCTCAGTGAAGACAGGGGGGAAAGAGAGAAAGAACAGCTGAACATGCTGAACATGTGCTGACATATTTCCAGCTTTTGAATGGCAACTTCCATTTAAAGTCACCTAATAGCATGACCGTTTATAAGAAGCTTCTATGAACTGGATAGTGTGAACCTAACCTGGTTCTCAGAAGATACTCTTTGTAATAGTTCATCATTTGCAATTCTTTTTACATATGTTGGAATGGACATGCAGAATTAAATGTCAGTTTTCTTGTCCAGCGTCTATGGAGTCCAGCGTCTATGAATGCTAAAGATTGCTGACAAATCATGCCAAAAGAGAGCTACAGTCAGGAAAGAAACCCATCACCTAAGTGTAATTATTGCTGTACTTTATTATCGCTTATATTCATTAATATAAGGTAATGATGCCTTTTGAATCATGCTCTACTCCTGTTGACTACATGGACACTATGTGGCTTTCTTGGCAAAATTATAGAAGTGATCTGTTCTTCCGTTCTTTCTAGTCTAGCCTTCAGCTCCAAAATTTCCTTATGGTTTGCATCCAAATACTGTACTATGGATGCTTAACTTCTGAGCCTATGCCAGTCAGCCTGGTTGTTGAAAATACCACATGGTCTGGTGTCCTGGCATCCTTGAGATAATTTGGGAATGTCCACATTGGCTTGGAATTCTTGGAGCTGTGTCCCAATGAATTTGCAAAGCTTCAGATTAGAAAAACACTAGAGTTGTATAATTTGAGGGATGAGGACAGACAAGTTCAAAATTTACCTTGGATATTTCAATTGTTTGCTTGCAGTTGACTAGGTAACATCATCAATACAATCTCTAACTTTAACTTTTCTGACATGCTATTCTACATGTCTGGAAATGCTATTCTGTAGGCCTTCTGTTGCCCGTTTATTGGGTGATTTATTTATCTCACTAGCCTGATTTATCAGGAAAATTGAATCATCCAAGCTTTAACTTAATTATGAATTTCCTAACATCCATTAATGGCCACTGCTGTTTGTTAATCCCTCATTTCTCTCCTCCACTCTACTGCAGGGCACAGTTTTCTTTTCTTTTCCAAATACCAACAATTATTCCCATAGTGATTTGAGCTCTCTATAAACAAGCACCAGAAGCAAACAAGTGATATGTTGTTTTCAATAAAAGAGCAAAGGTGATGCTCCTTTTTCAGAAAAGATCCCTTTGTCTGATTCATTCTGTTCAGAAGCAGAAGTATCCTTAATTCAAAGCAGGAGTAACAGCAGTAGGTCATGGAACAAAACTCCCCACAGTAATGTTACACTGAACAATTAATCAGCAGAACAAGTTGCTTTCAAAAGTTGTGGATACTCCAACACTGGATGTTTTTAAGAAGAGACTGGACAGCCATTTGTCTGAAATGCTATGGAGTTTCCTGCATGAGCAAGGGGTTGGACTAGAAGATGTCCAAGGTCCCTTCCAACTCTGTTATTCTGTTAAAGTTCCAAACTAAAATTGAGATGTAAATATGAGAGTTTATGTGCCAGGAATAAAGTCACACTTTGAGCACATTGTGCAGGACATGAATGCCACTTCTAGTTCCTGAATTTAGTCTTGTATGCCACTGATCTTACAAAAAAACAACAACAACCAGAATAATAGTGTGAATCATATTGTGGCATACTTGCACTCTTAGTATAGATGAAGCGTGATGCATGACATCATGTGAATGTATTTCCTTTCCTTTTGAATCTGGTACTTTTAACGAAACACTTCATATTGTCTAAGGCAGTCTTTGCATAAACATCGATTGTACTCCATAAACATGAACTCTGGAAGAGGATGCTGAACAAAAACTGATTTATTCTTTTTTATCATCCATAGTCCCAGACGTTATTGCTGCTGCTCCTTCTGTTGTTGTTGTTATTGCTGCTTCTCATTTCAGTTTTGTTTTTCAGATATGATTTTGGGGGAATGTGTATAAGAGGGCTATGTTCTTATTTCATTTAAAACTGTTTCCTTGACTAATAGTATAATAAGAATGTAACAATGGCAACAATATTTAAGCTGTATTGCCTCCAGATTTATAAAGATACATAATGTAGATGGATATGGCTTAGCAAAAGATCTATATATTTCAAACTCCTGCCAATCTGCAGGGAGCTTAGGAAAACGCATCATTATAAGTATTACTAATTGCTAAATTCTATTCTATTCTGTTCTGTTCTGTTCTGTTCTGTTCTATTCTACTCTACTCTATGTTTCTCTTTTCTATAACTATAAGATATGATTATCTATAATAAACTAATATAAGTTTTAAATTTTAAATATTCTTCAGGTTGTGCTTGACTCTTATTGACTTTACATATTTCTTTATGTTATTTGCCTTCTTCCTGGTTTTTCAATCCTTCAGTCTGATTTACGCTCTGGTCTGCCATTTACGTACTCATGAGACCTGACCTTGCTTAGCTTCAAATCTACAGCCTGGCACTTCTACTTAGGAAATTGTTTATTTTATATCATCTGTTTATATTCCTATACACCCCTTACTCATTTTGTAAGGGATTTGGTGGCTCAGCGGTTAAAGATGTTGAGCTTGTCAGCTAGAAAGCTGATGGGGTGACCTCCCATTACTTGTCCCAGTTCTTGCCCACCAAGTAGTTCAAAAGCATGCAAATGTGACTAGATAAATAGGTACCATTTTGGTGGGAAGGTAATAGTGTTCCATGCCCTTGGGCATACAGTCATGCTAGCCACATGACCACAGAAATGTCTTTGGACAAGGCTAACTCCTTGGCAAAGAAATAGAAATGAGCATCGCTCCCTAGAGTTGAAAACAACTGGACAGGGAAAACATTTACTTTTTGTAACATAGGTTTTCATGTAGAACTCTTGATCTGAATATTTTTAACTTTTTTTAAAAAAATACAGGCGATTAAGATTATAATGTTAAGGTTTTAGAACAATGGACCATTTAAAATTGGCTAGTTTAAGTACTTTATGAAAAATGTGATCTATAAAGACCCACAATACTGTTAAGACAGCTCAATGGTGTTAATCACACTTTGCAACTCTTACAACAATCACTTTATTTTAGTCTGAGCTCAAATACCATTTGAAATCCATTTGATAATTCTGAACATGACATTCTGCTCTGAAATAGTATTGGCTCGGTACTTGGTTTCTCTATTAACATTTTCTTATTGGTTATTTTAGTACAATGTTTGGAAAATATTTCAGTATAAACTACGATATAGTTGAGCATTCAGGCACAAAAATAATTTCTTATGCAAACAGAAAAGTAGCTAACCAGAAACTATAAAACTGATACATTTCTAAATTCAAATTAAACTCCTAAAACATATAGCACAATTGACATCAATGAAAATAAGCTGTAATTTGAAACTTCTCTCATAACATTCCTAGTGATCTGAATGGTAATCTTTCAAGTAGCATAGTATTCCTGTTATATTCTCTATCTTTAACCAGCAGAAGATCTGAAGGCCAAACAGGAACATAGGAAGCGTCTTTTATCAGGATAGACTTTGGATAACTAATTGATACTGACTGACACTGGATCTCTAGAGTCCCTATGGGAAATTTTCCAAACCCCACTTGAGAATACCAAAGAAGTGTTTGATATTTTCTTGATTAAAAGCCATGCAAGGTTTTCATCAGAAGGATTACAGATTACAAAGCTTTCATAAACATATAAGTAATGAAGATATGAGAGAATGGGAAGGAAGGAAAAATATGTTCTCTAATTAAGTGAAGAATGGAATTCCTGAAGGTTTGATATGAATAAATCTTTGTGCTAAACCATTTAGAAGAGTGCAGAGATAAAAGTGAGAACACTAGTGTCTTAACTTCCTTTTATGCTTTATAATTAAACTTATATTCAGAGCAACACAGGAACAATGTAACACAACCAATAAACATATGTGTAGCAGTAGCATTGTTTTTTCTTAAAAAAGGCAAGTATTATATACCATTATATTATATATTATATAGATTTGACTTCTTTGTTGGCTTTTCTTGTAGGAAGCTGGCTGGGAGTGTTTGAAATGAAAATCATGTGATTGCAGCTGACTGTAGCAATGTCATGGCAAAGCAGCATTGGAACATCCACAATTTTGCCAAATTTCATATCTGCTGGAGTCACAGGTCCAGGATTTTGGATGCATTCTTCAAGTTAGCCCATTGAAGGTATGATGATTCATAAACTGTTTCCCTATCATGTACCATTTCACCCAATTAAAGGTTGCAAACAATTAAACAGATGCAAGAGTCGTATATAGTATATAGGTTATAAGATTGTTTGAGATTCCAATAGAAACCATAGAGGGAATGAATGATGAAGGAATTGCTTTTCATAGTATCTTCTCCTCTTCCTCCTCTACTTACTTTTTGGTTAGCACTGCAGTCAGTTTTTTCCCCTAATTGGAAGATTATCTGAAAATTGAAGGAGGAGATCATGCAGTAGAAGTTGATGTCCATTCATTGTTGGCAACTGTTTTTGTTTTTTTAATGAGCTTCTTATGTGGATCAGGAATCCAATAGGAAAGAAAACAGCAAAGGCTTCCTCTTTCTTCCTTTCTCCTCTGTTCATAATTGCTGCATCTTCATATGAGGAGCTAGGCATCTGAACTCTCTCTCGTATTTTTTAAAATATATTTTATTGATTTTTGCAATAATAATCTTTAGAGCTTAGTAAACAGCATGTTGTCTGGGTTCATATATTTGAAAAAAACAATCAATAATAATTAATTTCTATAATTTGATGATCAATATATTAATTAATAGTATGTGTCCTTGATCTTTCCTTCTTCCAATGTTATTCTCCTTTGTCAACATTAGGTAAATATGATAATATTTTCAATACATACAAGGTTGGATATAAATTTTTTTTATATTTGTACAGATAACAATAACATTCATGTATAACATCTTTTCTAATTAAATTGTTTCAATTGTATTTGTAAAAGTCATCTTGTTAGGTCAATATGTGTCCTGTTTTCAAATTTCTTATTTAAACTTAATTTCCCCTCAGTATTCAAACCATTCTTATCAGTCATAGTTTTCTCAAAATTAATTACCTAAATATCCAAACTTTTCATTTACATACCCCATCCCAATATTTTCATATTTCATATATTATAAAAAACCATATTACTTATATATCCTATAACATCCACATATAACATCTTTTCTAGCAGCTTATATTTCAACTATATTTATAAAAATCATCTTATTGAGTCACTATATGTCCTGTTTTCAAAACTCTTATTTAAGCTTACTTTCCCTTGGTATTCAAATCCTTCTTCTCAGTCATAATTCTCTCAAATTTAATTACCTTTAAATGTCTAAACTTTCCATTCACATACATCATCTCGGTATTTTAACATTTTATATATTATAAAAAATACTATACTACTTATATCTCTTGTCCCTCTTACTATAGGGCCCCTTTATATCCAAAATTATCTATTCTTTTAACCCTATTCAAACAAATGTTTAATTATGTAGTACTCGATCTAGTAAGTCGAATCAGATCTCTTAAGTCTAACCCTAGCCTTCTTCTTTTGTCAAATAGCTTTCCAAATTAGTACGTTTCGCTTGCCAGGAAATTCCTGTATTTTTCTAAGTGTTGTTGGGAGTGTGAAGGACAGGTTGACTAGGATATATGCTTTGTGTCTCCAGACTCTGATGATTTTCCTGGCAGCACTATAATCCATTTTATTTAATCTTCTTTCTTATCCTTGAATTTGTTTTGAAGTCCTGTAGGTTAAAATATCTTTTCCATTTTCATTGTTGTAATAAAATCTTGTAGATTTTTTCCTGTTTGTGTTAAGTTATAGTTCTCTTCATTTGTAGCTTCTGTTCTGTTATCTGATTTGTTTGTACATTCTTTATCATTGTTTTCTGAGAATTTTTTAATTGTAAATTTAGATTGAAGATGTGCTTTATGTCATTTATGTCATCAAAGTTGTTTTTAATCTCCCTGTGGTTTGAAACTATTGTCATTTGAATCTGTCCTCCTGAAAAGTACTTGTCTTGTCTTGAAGTATTACTCCTGCAGATCTCTGATGTTCCAGGCTAGATCTTTCAGAAGAGAATATTTGGTGTGGTTTCCTGTCCTTTTTAGATAAATATGCAATATCCATTTTGTCTCCCCACTCCAAATAGTCTTTCACCACTACTATAGTCTCTGTAATTAGCCTTATCAAGCCAGCCAATCTCAAATTCTAAACCACCAAATCTTATATAGTTCTTATCTTTATATATGTTTTTTGTAATCCAATGCATTTCTAGTTGTCAAGGTATCAGTGAAAACAGTATTTTATAACAATTCTTCTATTCAGGGTCAGTTATCAACCAGTCAGAGTTCCAATCCACCTTGAAACCTTCTAGTAAGTTCCCCTTAGAAGATTCTGCAAACAATTCTTGAGCTTAGACAACAGTTAAAGTTTTCTTTTTCTGCAGATACTTTTTTAAAATTGCCCAATATATTTTCTTTCTTTGTTCTCAACTGTTTTCTATTTGGCTGAAGGTTATTAAAGTTCAAGGGAACAGATTATTCTTTGTTTCTGGGCATTTTGCCAATTTCTGAGTCAGAGTTGCTGTTGTTCTGTGCTCTGATTGTCCACTAGATGTCAGTAGTTATTTATTTTCCAACTTTTTCAAACAATAAAATTGTTGTTGTTTTAGTTTTTATAAATTCATCAAAACTCTTTAGGGTGTAAAATCTTAACAGTTTTCTTAATTTTCAAATTTATCCAGACAATAGTGTTATTAGTTTCATTTCAGTATATTTCTTTCCTCCTTAAAAGTTAATTCACCGCTTCTGTCTATGGAGGGGTGGGGATTTAGTCCCTCATTCACTTTCAGAGGATTTCTTTCTTTGGGGATTCTTTTCTAGGGAATCAGTTACAAAATAGAAGAGAGAAGATCAATATTCTCACCCAGTTTCAAGCATGCTGTTCACCGTTGTTCTGGCTCATGCTTTTGGACTTTGGCTGCTTGTAGCTTGGGCTAGACACTGATGTGCAGCTAGCCTTTCTCCTGTCGGGTTGGAGGGCTTCCCCCAGATTGAGCGGATCAACCACCGTCATTCCGCAATCATTGGGGTGCCCTTCCTTCTTTGTTTCATCTCAGGGGTGACTTTTTAGAGTCCCCTGGCAGGACGAAATCAGCTGTGGGTTGCAGAACCCCGTGATCCCTCAGCCAGATTGCTACAGGATGGAATCAAAGTCCGAGCTCTCTCTCATATTGGTGGGACCCATGTAAGATATTTGCCTTGAAACCCAAGGTCCTTACATTTCCTGCTACCCATGTTATAGTACTTTCATATATATTTAACGATCAAACCCACACCATTTTGAACTGTTTTAAACACACAAGAAACAGCTATCTTACCTTTTTACATAGGTTTTCCTAATACATACTGATGGCCTTGATTTGGACCTTGTTTTTCTCTTGAAGCAAATGCATAGTGTTCTGAAAAAAAAGTATGTTTTCACTTCCTTGTTCAGATAAAATTAACAAACTCCTGACACCTCTGTGAGGTGAATGGACTTATTAGGACTGTCTACCCTACACTTCTCAGGGATCTAAGCAATTTCTGGTTGGTCCCAATGATCTCACTGGGAGTTCTGTTGAATCCCTGGTTGCCTGCAGTTTTAGGATGAGTCCATGGCATGATTGGCAAGATTATTGCTAAGCTGCTTCTCCTGTTGCCCCTCCTGGTTGACTCATTGGTTTATGAAGGCTTCTGGGAGATGACTAGCAGAAGATATTTCTGGACTGCTTAACTGGTGGAAGAAGACAAAAAGTAAGTTTAATAAATGCAGGTATGAATTAGGTTTGAGCCTACATTCTTCAACACCAGAGTAGTTTTATCCATTAATACACAAATGAAAAAGAAGTCGATTAATATGGAACAAGGAGAAAATCATGTTTTATTTTGGCCTCATAAAAGATACTTGCAAATTAATGATTTAGTTACAATTTGAAGTGAGAGTGAGATTTCACTATTGTTAATTAGCATCAGTGACACAGGTTTCAGCTTGCTTCTATACATAGAGCTTTCTTGCTATATCAGAATAAAAGTTTTTGGGAATGAGTTGCTGGTAACACAGTAAAATAATTATGCAAGTGGCTATTTAAAACTACAGGTTCTCTCAGCCATGCTTTTCTTTGTTTCTCTTGTGCCCTCTTTTCTTCTTTTTCTTTTGGTCTCACTACAAATTTGCAGGTGATGAAAGAAACTGTCACTCTCATATAAAAGAATAGGCCAACTTAACTGATTGGAGAAAATTACATGAAGTTTTTGTTTAATCAAAATCTCTGTCTGATTTACTAGGCCAGATGTTAAATGTTTGTCACTGATGTCAATGTTGAGGTAATCAGTAAGCCAATTCCAAGTATAAGTGAGACTATAATAATATTTCACTTAATGTTACTGAAATTCATTTTTCTTTGGCTTAACAGGGCAATATAATTATTCAACTTATTACTTTGAAATCTGTGAGATACTTCATATACATAGAGTTGGGAAGCTTTACCATACTTTCACATGTATAGACATACAGCTATCACAATATTCACTTTGGAGATAAGCAGTATTCTCCTGAGGTAAATATGGTTATAGAAAAATACCAAGTGTAGTACCTCTCCATGCCTTTCTGTCCCTGTAAACAAATTTCACTTCCACCATTTTGATTCATATTTTTCATTTTATTTTTGAAACTTTTCATTTTTCTCTTTCTGAGGATCTCATCAGTTCCATCATATATTAGTCTTCTGACTTCTCATGACTCTTTCATTCTTCATATATTTGCCTTGCAATTTGATCCTCAGTCCTTTGGTGTCAAAACACTTAATGTATCTTCTAGCTCAATCAATCAATCAGAATAAAACTGGAAGGGACCTTGGAGGTCTTCTAGTCCAACCCGCTGCTCAAGCAGGAGACTATATATCATTTCATACAAATGACTTTCCAGTTTCTTCTTAAAAACCTCAAGTAATGAAGCATCTACAACTTCTGACAGAAAATAAGTTGACCCCCTCCTCTTTGTGGCAGCATCTCAAATACTGGAATACTGCTATCATGTGCCCCCCCCCCAGTGCTTCTTTTCTCTAGACTAGCCAAACCCAATTCCTGCAACTATTCTTCATATGTTTTAGTCTCCAGGCCTTTAATCATC